AAAATCAGTACTTGGGCCTGCTAGTGAAGGCAAGGGGGCTGGACTCATGAACTTTCAAGGTCCCTTCCAGTTCTAGGAGATAATGAAGATATCCTAATTAGTATTATTAAGCCAGCCACATCCAGTCCCTATTCAAGCCCAAATTAATGGTGTTAAATTTGCAAATGAATTTTAGTTCTGCAATTTCTCTTTGAAGTCTGTTTTTGAAGTTTTTTTGTTGAAGGATGGCTACTTTTAAATGTTATAGAATAGCTGGGGAGATTGAAGTGTTCTCCTAATGGCTTTTGTATGTTATCATTCCTGATGTCTCATTTGTGTCCATTTATTCTTTTACGTAGAGACTGTCCAGTTTGGCCAATGTACAATATGTGGCCTCCATAGACACATAAGAAATTATCACCGTGTTCACCAAATAAAACATTTACTTAACACTAATGTTTAACATTTAGCATCCTGTGAATGATTGGCCAGTCCCAGGATCGGTAGGAGAGATTTCACTCAAGACATAGGCATCCAACGTTATTGACAGACACACCCAAGCATTTCGTAATAAGAGATGGAAAATTAGACTTACACTCTCTTCACAATCCCTCTGATTCCTCTATAGAAAGGAATACTTCTGCTCTGTCACAGGAAAGCTGGTTGTCTCAGGGGGTTGTGGCTTTTGAGTGTTGTCTCAGGGGGTTGTGGCTTCTGCAGCCGTTATCTGCCAGATCTGAGGTGGTTAGCTGCTTGTTCATTGCTGCTGCTAAGGTAGCTTGCTGGCAGGCAGTTGCTCATTGCTATGGCAACCTTAGAATTCTGCCGCTGCTGCTGCTTTTCCAGGTAGCTGCTGCTTCTTGCAGGTATCTTGCAGCTTCCGTTCTCTACAAAACCCTACAAGTTCAGCCTGTTGGCCTTATATACTGGTTGCTCTCTCAGGATCAGCCAATCAGCTTTCAGAAATTAGCATATTTCTAGATCCTGTGCTCCAAAGTGCTTGGTGTCATCTACAAATTTTATAAGCATACTCTCCACTTCATTTATGAAAATATCAAATAGTGCTGGACCCAGATTGACCCCTGCAGAATCCCACTAGATACGCTCTTTCATTTTGACAGCCAAACATCGGTAACTACTCTTGGAGTATGGTCTTTCAAAAGCACCCATATTATAGTCATTTCATCTAGGCCACATTTCCCCAGTTTGCTTATGAGACTGTCACATAGGACTGTGTCAAAAGCCTTATTAACACCAAGATATATCATGTCTATTGCTTCCCCGAATCCACTAGGCCAGTTACCCTGACAAAGAAGGAAATGGGGTTGGTTTGGAATGATTTCGTCTTGACAAATCCATGCTTTCTAGTCCTTATAACCCTAGGTGCTTACAAACTGATTGTTTAATAATTTGTTCCAGTATGTTTCCAGGTATCAAAGGGAGGCCGACTAATCTGTATGTCCCCGGGTCCTCTTTGTTCCCCTTTTTAAACATAGATACTATCTTGTTAATGGATGTGAAGATATTTTTCTTCTAGGATTTCAGAAGAGAACTGCTGTATAGCACCTGGTTTGTTAAGGCAACAAATGCTGAGCCAGGAACCAATGGTTAAAATTTGTCCCCGACCATTTCTTGTTTCTCTAGACAAGACATTTTAGCAAATTTTAGAATGCCTTGGTGCTCAACACCGTGAAACAACCCTTTCTCCTCCACAAAGTGCTTTATGCCCATTATCTCACCCAGACTCACTACGGCCAGGAGTTAGAGAAGTGTCCCTCTTCCCATCGGACAGATTGGGACCCCAAGGTACATAGAAGGGAGATGACCTACCCCAGGTCACACAGCAAGGCGATGGCAGAGCCAGGAGAAAAGCCAACAGTTCTCACTCTTGCTCTAACCAACAGACAACAAACCCTGCAGAGGCAGGGATAGAGCCGAGGAATTGAGATGGTGGGAAATTTTTCATTGAAACAGTTTTCTGTTGGAAAATCCCATTAAGATTAAATAAATATGTTTTTTGAAATCATAAATCAATTTGGATGAAAATTCTTTGCAAAAAAATATTTTTGCAAAACAAAAGCATCTCCTATTTGTCACATACTGTTACATTGTCTCATCGCACATAAAGAGGAGACACTTGGATCTAAAAAAAACCTAGATGAGATGATTCGGTCTGGGCTAAGTAGTTGCTCCTCTTAATGATTTAAAAATAATAAAATACAAATAAAATAGGATATTTCAGCTATTATACAGCAGAACTCCGTTTATTGAATCTAATTGGAACTGGGGCCAGATCAGATAATCAAAAATTCAGCTAAACTGGAGAATAGGAAGGTGTGAGACTTCAGCGCCATCTTGTGGCCACAGGAGAAATCACCTGGACCTGAGTGCTTTGGTTATTCAGTTAATATGGAAAGCCAGATAATGGAGGGTTGGATAAACGGGGTTCTACTGCATTACGTCATAATCTGCCATGACTCAATATGATAAGACATCTCATATTATACACTGCTACTAGTGACACTCTCAAATGGATCTTCACAGCTTCCCAACCTCCACTCACCATGAGGTAGGTATAAGAGGATTGTTATCCTTAATTGACAAAGGGAGAAACAAAGGCCTGGTCTACACTAGGACTTTAATTCGGATTTAGCTGCGTTAATCCGAATTAACCCTTCACCCGTCCACACTACAGAGCCAGTTAATTCGAATTAAAGGGCACTTAAAATCGATTTCTGTACTCCACCTCGACGAGCGGAGTAACGCCTAAATCGATTTTGTTAATTCGAATTAGGGTTAGTGTGGCCGCACACCACCGAATTACTGTGTTTAAGTTAATGGGGTAGTGTGGCCGCACACCACCGAATTAATGTGGTTAAAAACCGAATTAAGGTGCTTAGTGTGGCCGCGCACAATCGAATTTATACAACCTGTTTCCCAAATTCGAATTATCTAAATTCGGATTAATCCTGTAGTGTAGACATACCCTAAGGCTGAGAAAAGTGAAGGGACTTATCTTATGTCACACTGCCAGTGGCAGAGTTGGAAATAGTCCTGACTTTGAAACTAACCATAAATCTTGAATTTCATATACTGAATGACCAGAATAAAGTGATCTCAAATGAGATTCAGATCAACAACTGTTCACAGTTATTATTCAGCAAGTATTTTAGAGGAACTAGAATATTAAAGAGAATCATGAACTGCTCAGAGACAATTAATGAGAGAAGCAGCAAAATTCATCAAGCATCTGATTGATTATGACTTATTTGCTTGATCTTAAAAGAGAACAACAAAGTCCTGAGTCTCCTCCTGTCACTAGACCCCTAGTTCAGCCAATCACTGTTGAGATTCTGAGGGGCAGGAGGCTGAGGGTTCTCACCAGCTGGCCCAAACGATGGCCATGGCCACCAGTGGGGATCACTGTCAGAGCACTCTTCCAGCCCTGGCTCTTTCTGAGGGCCTCCCATAATGAGGGCTGGAGAGCAACCCCCTTCTTGCCAGTGGCGGGAAGGAAGAAAGGAAAAGGGAAACCAAAAGAGACAAACCCCAGTGTTCCCAGTGCTTCTAAAGGACAATGGCCTATGTGGGGGGGAAAATTCTCCCACCTTCACCTGGTGTTTTCCATGCTAGCCAGCACCAGATGGATCAGGCTGAATAGCTACCAGACTTCTCTGAGGCTCTTACCTTCTCAACAGGGACGTCTGTTTTCTAGCAAAATTAGTAGTGGGAAAGGGAAAACTCCGAAGGGGCTCCTCCTCGTGCTCACGTACGTGCACCTGAATTCTCTCTCAGTCCTCAAGGAGAGACCTTGAGAAGGAGACATGCTGCAGCAAAGCCACGGGACTCTCTGAGATTGCCGCTTCCCTGCAGCCTGTCCTGCCTGACCATTGTCAGAGTCTCTCTGTGAGGTCACCACCTCCCGTACTATTTTGACCAATAAGCTGAGGTCCTACAAAAAGCACTTGTGATGTCACTGCCCACATCCACCCTGCCCTGGAGGGCTCACATCTTGCCCCTAGCCAGCCCCTTTGGATGTTTGAGCTGCTCCCCCTGCATCAACCCACTCACTCGCTGTTAGTTCTGGGGATCAAGCAGGCTACACAAGAAAACATCAGAAGCTGCTCAATATACCACACTCAGTTTTTCAGAGACTTGTACACTTTAAGACCAGAAGAGACTGTCAGATCATCTAATCTGACCCCCTGCATATCACAGGCCTCCGTTATACCACAGGAGCTAGTTTTTGACCAAAGCACACTCTAGAAAGGCATTTAGTCTTCTCTGGAAGACATCAAGAGATGTAAAACCACCACTTCCCTTGGTAATTTTTAAGAAACTGATGCATTGAGGGGAAGAGAATTGACCTCAAGGCCACACTTGAGTCTTAATACATATATGCACAATAGAACTGCACTAAGGTTGTACAAGCAA